GTTCCGTGGTCTGCGCCTGGGGACTCTTGCTGATATTGTCCGTGCTGGGCGGTGGCGCCTCTCACGGTACCGCCCTCGGTAGCTTCGGCCTCGGAAGTTTGTCGGGTGCGATGGAGGACATGAACAGTGCAAGATGCCCGTGGTTGTGCACGTGTACCGGACAGGAGGTCGACTGCTCTCATCGTGGCCTCACGCAGATTCCCGGGGACCTGGTCACGTTTCTCGTCGCTGAAAAACTGTGAGTCTTTATATTTTTATCTTTCTTGCTTTTTTCTTTTTCTTTTTTTTTTTGCGATAAAGGATTTGACGCACCTTTTCCAATTTTCGAAAGTAGCTTTATCTTTATCTTTGCACGATCGATCCTCTTCTAGTTAGTTTCATTTTTTCTTTTTTTAACAGAAAAACATCTGGTTTTTAAAGAAAAGTTTACGAATAATACGTAATTATGAGAATTCTATTTTATCCCCTTCTTTCTCTTTGATGTGCACACGTTTGAATCTGTGCACGCATTTTATTCGTTCGTTAGAGAGAGAAGGAGAAACTATTCGAGCGACGATAAAACTTGAAATGTTATCGAGAATCGGAAAGCGATATTTGTCGTAACGAAGATCAAAGCCTCGCTCGCGATAAATTTTCCTTGAAAATTTAACGGGACAAGTCGATTATCTCAGATAAATTGCCCATCTTTCGAGCAACCCTTTCAACCGTAATCTTCAAAATAGACGCTTTATCGAACTCCTAATCCACCCTGCCGCCCACGAGATAAATTAAAAGGCAGGCGGACATATTGACAACGGTGCAATAACCGGGAGCAAGTAGCGCGGTTGATCGTCGAAGCATTCAGAAAAATGGGGCTGTTCCGGCCCACTTAACCTGAAAATTATCCGCGAAACTCTCTTTTGTCGGGGTTGCATTAGTCGATTGGAAAAGAACGATGTGCCACATACTCGCGATAATCGAGCCCTCCCCCCTCTCCGTAACCATTCCTGTTATCGCTAGCCTTTCATCGACGATTCCTTCGATTATTTTTCCAAGATATATCATAGGATCATCTCAATAATCCTTTCAACCATCATTTCACCTCCCTTTGTTTTAATGTTAAAAAAACTCCAATTTATGATTTTAATCGTGGGACGCGATATTATTACTATTACTATTATTATTATTATTATTATTAGTCTTCTCCTCGTGAAATTAGAAATCCAATTGGATGGATTTCCTTTAATAAAAGGCGTGGATACCGTTCCAGCGAAGATTCATTATCGAAGACTCGATTTTAAAAATTTGATAGAACTCGAGTTAATGAAGAAAAAAAGGAAAAAAAAAAATCCAAGAAAAATTGGATTCGATCCCGCGATTCGACCTTCGTTGAAGATAAACCGTTCGAAATGATTCTTTATTCCAATTTAATTACCGATTGACCGCCTTAATTCGGACGACCCTTTACAACTAACGGATTACATTTCGACAACCTCTCCCATTTGTCTCTTGGATCGAATTTATCGCGCAAGAAATGCGGTAATTTAAACGAAATTGCTTTCGATGCGCGAGAAGGGTAAAAGAGAGAGAGAGAGAAAGAGAGAGAGGGAAAAAAAGGAGCCCGTGGAAGAGGAGGATTGAACGATCGGTCGTTAAGCGGCGTGCATATTTCCTCGGAGATGTGGCCACGCGGTAGGAACACCGGTTTAATAGTTTTGCATTTCCTCGGTGGCCCGAGTGGCGCAATAAAGAACGCAACGAGCGCGATAAAACGCGTTACAACGCGGCCGAAGCGCGGTGGAATAAAACGTCACGAAGAATCCACGAAGAAACTCGAGGAGGTTTCATCGATGAGAAGAAGAGACGTGTCCACGATTTCCCGAAAATTATTTTATATCCCGTCGTCGGAACAAAATCGATCGAGTAGTTTTTTCAAAAAAAAAGAAAAAAAAGAAAAGTATCGATTTTTCGAAATCCAAGGGCCAAGGGATTATCGAATTATCGTTTCTTTAATTCAATAAAATTCTATCCGAAAATGATTAAAGGCGGAAGTGGAGGATCATAGTGGAGGCGCCCATTGATAACGCTTAAGAATCCTCGAGAAGTTCTCGAGGAGTTCTCTCTCGTCGGTATCGATCTTTTGCGACGCTGTCGAGTAATTGATGGTTATGAATTAGACGTGTTACGTATACGTGTACTCGGGGGAGCGTGGTTGTGTTGGAAGAATGGGCCTAGTGTTGGTAAATGGATAAAACGACAAGCAGCGAAATGATCTATCAAACGAGAGCGTGGCTTCTTGCCTCGTTGTTGCTTTCTTTCTTTTCCTTCTGCTTTGAGTTAACGATCAACCTGATGTAACAGATGTTCATTAATGACGATTGATCGGCATACGATTAATATATCGTCGATCGATACCGAGGGACATCGCGATTAGCGTACGATCGATGGCGATTTATTTCTTCTTCTCTTCGTTATTTGTGAAAGGATTCTTTCTAATTTTCATTTTAGAAAATTTAGGTTTTAAAATTTACAATAATCGTAATATTTTCATCTTATAGAAAATATAATATATAATAATAATTTTTCAACGAAGTAAAGTTCTAATCTTTTCAAAGGACTTGGGTTAAAACAAAGAAAGACAATTCAAAAACGGATTAAAAAAAAAGAAAAAGAATATATAAAGTGATATAGAATCATTCTTTTTTTTTTTAACATGATCTCATGTGTACAGCGTTCTCTAATCAACGTTTTATATTGCTCAAACAGTGAAAGATCACATGTATAGATAACGTCAGACAGTAAATCAAGCATGAAAGAACATTAAAGATTATCTCATTTATAAAAGCATGTCGAACCATTGAATACATTTTAGAAAGTCATTAACGTGTTTCTCTTATTTCCACTCCGGAAATATACCGGTCGTTATTTTAATTTCGCTGTACACATAGTAGCCACATCATTAATTCTATAAAAATACATCTATACATCTACTTCTTCTTCTTCTTTTTTTTTTTTTAAATTCTCGCTAATAAATTTAATGTTCCATTCGAGCAAATCTGATCGTATCGTGTTTCACAATTCTTCGATTGATCCTTTATGATTTCTTTTCAAACAACAAGAATATTTATCTCTGCTTGTATCCGTGCAATTTTGTTAATGAACGTCTTATCCGATTCATTGAGTTACAAATTCATTCCTCCCTTTTACAAGAAAAAAGATAGTATCAAGTATTTCGTATTGCGATCGTATTTCTTTTACGAAACGAAACTTTCGAGAAAATGAAAAATTATAATTGTAATTTCTTCTCATCAAAGCACGTGACAATATACGTGGCAAAAAAAAATCGAATTTGGACGCGATTTCCAAATCACAAAGATTAATTAACTTCGGTCCTTTGTCTTTTCTCCAAGAATTTCTACCCCGTTCTCTCACATCCGGTCGATGTCAAGATAATTAGGGATCTGGCTATTCGTTAGCCCCCGTCTAAATCTGCGATTTTGCGGACAGTTAAACAGTTTCGCGTTGTGCACACGGGTGCATCGATTGCCGGTCACCAAATTTTCAAACCGGATCTTTGCAATTTGCTTTCGATCCTCGTTCGTTCGATTCCTCACTTCGGTTACCTCGGTTAGATTCGTTTGAATTTCGTTTCATTTTCCAATATCCCGATGGTGTTATTGGATCTGTTTGATATATTTTTAAAGAAATTTTTTTGGCGGTATCTATTGTTCATTCGATCGTCACTGATGCATCATAGAAATTTCAACGTTTATGAACAATGTATTATGAGATTCGTCGATTGATCTTTGAAAAAAAGTCGAGGAAAAATTTTTGGATGAATCAATTATTTATAAATATTTTATAAAACTATTTAACAAAAGTTAAATTATAGAAACAAACATTTTTTATTTTATATTTCTGTTTCGTGTTTTATGTATGAAATATTTAAATAAATTTTAGACAAATGAGTGACGATATGAATGTATATATTTCTCTTGTATATGTATATATTAAATGTATATATTAAATTCGTTTAATGTATCGGAATCCCCATCGGTTAAGAAAGTTTACAAACGATAACTATACACAAGTTCGAGTTTGTTTATACGAAGCCACGTTATCCCCACCACGGGCAGATTGCCAGTTATTCCGAAAATAGCGAAGCGGACAGACGTTTAATCGATCATAAGCAGAAGGAACTCGTAACGTGACGAAATGAAAAGTGTTTGTCGAATATTTCAATTATCTCAATTGTTAAACTCGATATTGCTAATCTAATTTTAGACCCAAATCAAACCAAATTATACAAATCGTTATAATTCGAACTATCCTAAATCATTTCGAATAAAATGAATCTTCACATCAATGTTGGATAAATTTTATCTTTAGAGATGCTTAATAAAAGCATTGGAAAATAATTATACTATCTTGTCATCAAAATATATATATATCTTCAGTTTGTAAAATTAGAAAGATTTCTTCAATTGAATAAAATTTTCAATTTAAACGAATCATTTATAAAATTTACATAACTCTCGATAATTAAGAATCATTCCTTCCACGCACAGTTAATCACAGTTATCCAAAGATTGCTCGTTCTTCTCGAAGATTCATTTTATGAAACATCCGTCGAGCAAACAGCAGCAAATCGAGTATCGGTTCCTCCTAAATCTTTCCCGCTAAAAACACAACCCCTTTCCCCCTCGAAACGAGGGAGTGCCACGAGGGAACTGCTTATGATTTTTCGATTAGGCTGTGCAAACAGTAGCACGTCTCTCTGAAAACAATCGTAACATCCCGAGTTAAGTGTTTGAGGAAGCTCCATGTTTTTCCAAGTAACGTCTACGAGTCGTCGGCCTACATTTCCTCTTCGAACGCATCTTCTCTACACATTTTTTCGCCCCTTCGTGAATATCCAACGTTCCACGTGTACGTACCCTAAAGATCGATTTTTCTTTCTATAAAATTCCGAAAATTCCATTAACCTGTTGTTAATCGAGCGAACGTTATTCATTTCTTAAGAAATCATTATTTCAACAATCGAAATGTAATTTTCGAGGATTTATTTCTTTACATTTTTCTCTTACATTTAATACCTCCCCCTCTCGTTTCTATCTCAATCTTATATAACGTTCATCTATATGAAAAATGAATAACGAATAAACGTTCCCTTTATCCTCGAGATAAGCGAATCATGCAAAAGGTACTTTAAAAATAAGTTGCGTAGCATGGTAACGGGTTAAAAAATTAAAACGTTCATCCCTCCCTTCCTCCCCCCGTCTGAAACCTTCATCCGGTTGAAGATCCTTCTCGCGAGGAGGCTTAATAAAATTCATCAGAGCCGATAAGCAAGCTAATGATCCAAGTTAATCCGATTTAAGCAGGTTCAAAGGAGGAAGGCGCGCCTCGATTATCCTTCCACCTCCTGACACGGCGACAGCGGGAGGTGGGGATGTGGGGAGGTGGGGGCGAACGAACGATCTCGAACGTCCGCCGATTTCTTTTCCTTCCTTTTCCTTCCACCCCTTGCTTCCATTCTCTCTCCACCCTCCACCCTCATCAGGCGGAATTGTAATTAAATTTTTTTCGTCGCGATGTCCCGTGGTTGGCGACACGTGAAATCGAGGGGCCACTGCGGCATCGCGGATTCCTCGAGTGCGAACGCGGTAGCCCGCACAGTGCTTGGTCGCGCGGCGTGAAACTGCCAACATCCCTTCCGAAAACCCGCGAAAAACACGCGGAAAACGGAGGCAGATGTTTTTTTTCTCCTTCTTTTTGTGCGTGTTTCCTTTTTTTCTTTCTCTCTTTCCTTCTCTCTTTTTTTTTTGTCGCTCGACAACTGTCGTTTCGTCACATTTCACCGCCGAATTCCATTGGATCTCTTCGTGTTTTTCTCTCCTAGTTTCGATACCCCTCGCGATTCAGTTTCACTGGTGTTTTCGTTGGGGATAGAATTTGTTTCTTATTTTATCCGGTTATTTATTTAATTTTTCCACACGAATTGCTTTTCGATGAGTCCCGTCGTTCAGTTTTTCAGTAAAGAAAGGCACGTAGAGAGATTATTTTATTTGAACCTTTCGGTGCTAAATTTCTAGATCGTTTGATTTTTAAAAAAAACCCGCCAAAAATATTTATCGAAACGAGAGATGGGGGGTGATCGGCTCGATAGCGTCTAATCGCCAAGGAGCCAAGGAATTGTGAATCATCCGTACAGCGGTTTTCATCTCGCAGCTATTTCCCTCCAGTCATGCATAATACGCGCGGAGGTTGTATACCGAGCCGTTGCTGCATTCGGTTGCCGCAGAACCGGAGGAACGGTCGGCTAACCGCAAATATTTTACACCGCCTTCGAGTCTCGCGGACGGCGGTTCGTTTAGCCAACGTGTTTTGTCCGTGCCACCCTCCCCGTGGAATTCGAATTCCGTGCACGCGCCCCAACGATACGTTGTCTAATCGTGTCGTTTCGTCTTAGATTTCCCTCGCCTCCTTTGGATGGACTCGTTTCTTTCTTTCCGCTTCGAGTTCGCGATTCTTCCTTTTGTCTTTCTTTTTGATTGGGTTGATTTAGAAAGAGATGTTAGATCGATTTTCGAGAAATTGTTTAGAGAGTTGGTTTTTATTATTGGTTTTAGGAAAGATTAAAATTTCTTTGGATAGAACTCGTGGCGATGTTATTTTTGATTTTTATACGCGAGTCACTTTTTTCTTTTTTTATTGGAGTAATAAATATTCTCTTCGTAATGAAAAATTACATTCATTTTACATTAGGTGTCCATTGTTAAAAATTATCCGTACAGCAATAGTACGCATTAAAAAGTACAATATAAGTTATTGGAAACCAGTTGGTCGACTAGGAGAGCCCCAAGCTAAGGAAGACAGGATAGATATGTTTGATCAAACTCGTTCAAATCGTCTCCGCGCGAATCGTGTAATTATCGTGTTCCGTGCGTGAAATCGCGTCGATAAGTGTCGATCTCTCTCTACGATTTCGCCTCTTGCTCCTGGTGAACGTCGAAAAATATATTTTTCAAAGCCCGTCAACTCGGTTGAATCTTTGGCCTCGCGGGATTACAACCACGGACAGGTTATAATTAATTAATTCACCGATCTATAATTAAGTCGATGATAAACGGCGCGTCCGCGCGATGATTAGCATTATTATTTATAATAACACGGCGAGCTGTCGCGCGTAACGTAGCCTCTGAGCGTGTGCACCACCAAAGGACGATTAATCACTGCTCAAACAACAATTACGACCGATTAAGCGTCTCGTAATTAGTATCATTTCTGTTGGCTAGATCTGTTCCCGGGGAGGTGATTAAGATGCTCAGCTTGGGTGGAAGATTTTTCTTTTGAAATATCTTTGGATTTTTAAAGTGGAACGCCTTTGTGTCAAAATACGAATTCGCGTGTTTTGCATACGCGAGATAAATTTTGAATCCATTGGGGTAACGATAAAATCATTTTTATTGTACGTATCGATTCATCGTGACGCAATTTATTTCGAAGATTAAACCCCTTTCTCGAGAATCGAAAGCGTATTGAAATTAGCGATTAAGGTCTTTGTGCAAATTCTGCAGGAAGGTATCTCGACGTACCAAAATTACGTCAGATTCGAGGCAAAAGTGGCTTCGAATTTGCTTGCTGGCAAAATTCCGAACTGCATTTCGTCAAAGGTAAATCTTAATGAGAAGGTTTGCGTGGTTTCTCTTTGAAGAACGTGTGTAATGACAGCGAGGAATAATCGACCGGATAATCGGTGGTTATGGAATATAAATTAAAAATTATTCACGCCACGTTAAATATACGTATTATTAAATCGTCTCGAATCCATCGATTCCACTCTTCTTAAGAAAAATTCTTAATTTTATCATTTTAAGGAATTTCAGGAATAATATTTAAGGAAATAGATAATTTTGTACGGGAAGAAATATCGATTTATATTTAAAAGACAGAGTGGAATAAATTATTCGAATATTATACGAACACCCCCGACTTGCAAAGACTTTAGAAACTGCGAAAGATACCGGAAGTCTGTTCAGCACACGTGAATCTATTCCGAACGAGTGGATCCCCGGCAATCCAACAGAAGTTTCAGACACGAGAAGATGCACGCTACAACGGTTGCGTAGTGCTCGGTACGCGCTAAAGTACAGAGTATATACGATAGAATCAAAGAGGAAGTTTGCCTCTGTTCGTCGAAGTTAGGGGCAGAGAGTGGAGCAATGCAAGAGCAACTGTAGAGGCAAAGAGAGAATCAAGATAATTGCAATGCTCGTGCATATGCAGCGCGTACCCCATAAGACCATCGAAACAACAACCCTTCCCCGTCCGTTCATCAAAGAATCCCGAAACTCTCGTAAATCTTTTATAACCGTCTCGAAACACGACGCGTGTTTCAAAATGGCCGACACGCGTTTCTCGAGATATACACGTTAAATATATTTTATTCGAACACGTCTCACGAATTTTCTCATAAATAATCCGATATATATCGTGTAAAAATGCCACGATACACGACGTTCCTCCTCCTCTTTCTCGAAGGCTCGCTCGTTGTCTCTCGCCGATCGATTCGCGAAATCGCCTGGAATCCTGTGTACGACGCGTTCTCCCCGCAACACAAGAGAGAAGGAAGCCTCTGTACACCGTCTAGCGCAACACCCCCGCCCAGTCGGGGTTTTCTTTTATTGTTGTCTGTTTGGAGCATACCTACGAGTGCACTTTCATCGAGAGAGACCCGGCGAAAACTTCCATTAGACGGTCGCGGTAGCCTCCATTGGAATTCAGGAAAGGGTGTCGATATGTCTGGCCCGCACGATTTTCTACCTGAGCCTCTGGCCCCGCTCTATTCCGATGCTGAAATTAATGGTTTTTTTCTCGACGTGAGAGTGCGCGAGAGAGTCAAACAAAGAATTATCGTGACCGAACTGGAGGGGGTGCAGGAGGGGAGGGCCGCATTTTTTCACGTTACGGGAAGTTTTAAAGTCGTCGGGATTTCTTTGAAATATCGTCAACCGAGTAGGTAGGTCCTATCCTTTTTTTCTTCTCTATATTCTAATTTTTTCTATATTCCATCGAGCTTCCTCTATCGACATTATTTTTCAATTTTTACCCTCTTCCTTTAGGACTCTCCTTTCTTAAGCGTTAAGTTACCACACGGCTTCTGCTTTCAATTTTCCTCTTCAGAGGAAAATTATTCCAAATTTATCTTAACAAAAGAACGCGTGCGGTCAGAGAAAAAGAGAAGAGCGGTCCCTGAAGGAAGGAAGTCGCACAGCGTTTATTCGCATCCCACCCCTTCTTCCCTTTTTT